AGGAAAAAAAAAAAAAAAAAAAAAAAAAAAAAAAAAAAAAAAATGAGAAATTTGTCAAGAAGGGATAAACACTATCCCTTCCCCCTCAGGAGGCTTGCCATGGATGTTGGTTCCAGGGACTTGGTTCACCTGTATGAACCAGCTAGGGGTGGTGGTTGAAAATGATAGAGTAGACATTTCCCTCAGCCGCTGGCTGAAGATTGACAGGGTGCACCCTATTTCTAACCAGATCTGGCCTAGCATGCCCCAAGGCCCAGTGAAGGTTGGCTGAGCCCGAATCTGGGCTCTAGGGACTGCAGGCAGGAGACAGTTTCTCATCAGATAGTTATAGGTCCCAGCAGGCTGGAGTTTCCAAATAAAAAAGGTAAAAATAGTCTGAAGGAGGCACCTGAGCCAGATACCCAGACTCAGAACGCCTCTGCTCCTCCTTCTTCTGCTCTCAGTCTGGGATCATCTGACCATCTGTCACCACTGTCACTGCTGTCCAAGTCAGATCTCTCCTCCTCACATCTGGACAAAGCCTCCTCAGTTCACCCCATCAGATTAACCATCCTAAAATTATCCCTGCTCAAAATTTTCCATGGCTTCCAAGTGGGAACCTTATTAAAACTGAAGTCTCTCAGGTTAGGTCCCCAGAAATCTTGACTTAGCAGATCTGGAGGGGGACCCAGAAATTTGCATTTTAAGTAGCAAGTCTAGTATCCCCTAGTAAGTACTTCCTAAGAAACAAAAGCCTGGAGGAATGAACTTCCCCCTGAATCCCAAAGGCAACCTCTACTAAGGACAGTCACTCCAGGTAGACATAGCCCCTAGATTCGTGTCTCAGTCAGAAATCAGTCTGATTATGAATAACCTCAGCTCATTTGAATGGTAACACCAACCTGATGCTAAGCACAATTCATTAGAGTGGAGAAAACTGTTTTCTTTCTGCATTAGCATCTTGTCACACTCCAGGAGAGTTTAGAATTGAAAATAGAGGTAGAAGAGTAAACCAAACTGAACTGAATAAATGTTCCTGTTCTAAGTAATAATCAGTGTATACTTGGTATTTAAAAGTATCTGTAACATTGAAGAGAATTTGATTTATTCAGTGTTAAAAGTTAAAATATATAGTTATGTAACTGATAAGATATATGCCAGTAATTGACATTAGACTTGTGATTTTAGGTTGAGAGGTTAGCAATAGTTGGAAACACTGGCTGCACATTAAAATCGCCTGGGATGCTATAAAACTTACTAAGGGGTGCCCTCCATTCATGTCTTCATGTCAGAGATGAAGTCTGTATTTTTTTTAGCTTCCCAGACTGACAGCCACTGACATAGGAGAATTTGACTAAGTATATAAAAAGTATTCAATTGTTTACAAGAACTTGAAATTCATTATGTTTACAAGTTTAATGGATTAGATTTCCTAGTAACTGTTTACGTATTCTAGGGAAATTGTGCTTATTAGGTTATGCATCTGAAGTACTTAAAAAGAAAATCAAATATATTAAATATATAAATGGAATTTAAATGTTTAAGGGGATGTAATCAAGCTGTAAATAGGGCTGGGTGCTTAAAGGAATTTAGTTTGTTCAACTAGAGTTCAAACATTAATCAAAGGAAAACTTAAGGTCATTTTTCTTATTTTCCTAGATTTATATTCAGAATTATAATTTCTAAGATGAAATTGATGGCTTAAGGAAAATTAAGCATTTTAAAATTGTTGGGGCCAGCCCGTGGCTCACTCGGGAGAGTGCGGTGCTGATAACACCAAGGCCCCGGGTTCGGATCCCATATAGGGATGGCCGGTTCGCTCACTGGCTGAGCGTGGTGCTGACAACACCAAGTCAAGGGTTAAGATCCCCTTACCGGTCATCTTTTAAAAAATAAATAAATAAAATAAATAAATAAATAAATAAAATTGTTGCTCCAGGGCCGGCCCAGTGGCGCACTGCTACAGGGCGGCGCTCCTGCCGAGGGTTCGGATCCCACATACAGACCGGCCGCTCACTGGCTGAGCGAGGTGCGGGCGTGACACCGAGGGTTGCGATCCCGTTGCCGGTCACGAAAAAAGACAAAAAGGAAAAAAAAGAATAAATAAAATAAAATAAAATTGTTACTCCAAAATAAGAATTAGTTTAAAAGATAAAAAATAAAACCAAATATGGGCCAGCCCGTGGCTCACTCGGGAGAGTGTGGTGCTGATAACACCAAGGCCACGGGTTCGGATCCCACATACGGATGGCCGGTTAGCTCACTGGGTGAGTGTGGTGCTAACAGCACCAAGCTAAGGGTTAACATCCCCTTACCGGTCATCTTTTTAAAAAAAATAAAAATAAAAATAAAAATAAAACCAAATACAACGAGCCACACCTTTAACTCCCTGTGGTCTTCCCTACTTGTCCCGCCTAAAATGATTCTCCCTCCTCTAATTCCCCCTCCTCTATACTGCCCATCAGCCAGATTTGTTGCAGATGATCAGCAAGACCTAGTACTCTCCCTGGAGCCTCACAACTTTCTGCCCCAAGGGGCTACCAGGATGCTGTGCAAAGAGTAAATAACCACAGTAAAGATAACTCATCATAGATGTAGAGCATCTCACACTTTCCCTTGTAGTCCCCTAACCAGGCATTACTGTTGCTCTTTACAGAGTAATTAAAATATGGCCCAGAGAGTCCAGACTTGATCAAGGTCACACAGAATCAGAGGTAGAGCCACACCTGTAATCCAGTCCCTGGTTTTGAATGCCATCCCTATCCTGATGACAATTATCTCAGGCTCAGACCTCTCTTCTAAACTCCAGACCCATATCACTATTTGCCTCTGGACATCTCCACTTGATATCTATGGAGGAGCTCAAACTGAACGTGGCCAAAACAGAACTTAAGATAATTGCTGTTGATTTTAAGTGGTTGAGGTCAAAACTTAGATGTCCGCCTCGATTCCTCTTTCCCACACACCCTGTGCGCATCTGCCAGCTTGTTCTGTCTGTCCTATCTCCCAAAATACATCCCAAATCTGATCACTACTCTAATCTACACCCTAATCTAATTTACCATTCTCCCTCAACTGATCCACCACAATAATTTTCCCTCTTCAGTCCGTTTTCAGGAGAGCAGCCAGAATGATAGCATTAGAATGTAAATTACATCTTGTCACATGTCTGCTTAAAATCTTTCAGTGGCTTCCTAGTGCAATTAGAAAAAAATAAGACTCCTTACCATTAGTTACAAGGCCGCATATGAGCTGACCCGAGCCCACCTCTTCCTAGTCCACTCTTCTTTCCCTCAAACTCCCAGGATTGCAGCCCCCTCAAGCCCTTTGCACCAGCCTTTTCTTGTCTGACCCACTACTGTTCATTCACGTCTCTAGTCAAGTGCCATGCTCAGAGTGACCACCCGGGCTAAAACAGCACCCCAATCCACCTGTCTTCTGTTCTTTTAAGCACCCCTTGTTCATTGTTACTGAGCCTCCACCCGCCCACACACAGATGATTGAGCACGCCATGAAAGCAGGGACATATTCACCGCCGGGTCCCCAGCACAGGGCCCAGAGGAAGCACTCGGAAAACATTTGTTGAATGCCCCTGGTACTCCAAAGTGCTTGCTCTTTCTACTTCCAAGAAGGGATGAGTGGTCCCAGGTCTCCTGCCTTCCAGGCCAGAATTTCAGCCTGCGAAGACCAGGAGAGAGGGGAGCAGGAAGCACGGGAAAAACAGTCCCTCCCCCTGAGGCCAGGCTGAAGAGTTCAGTCCCCAGGACCCAACTTTTGTCACAGGCTTCATCTCTGGGCCTGGAATAGAGGCAGAGACGAGCCAGGGTCTCAAGGTCCCAGGTCCCCTCGCCTTTCCATCCACTCCCCATCCCAAATAATGGTGCGTCCCGCCAAGAGGGGCGCGCAGACTCAGAAGGAAGAGCCCAAGTCTTCCCGTGGGAGGAAAGAGACTGGACCTGTCCCTCGACGACCGGTCAGAGAAAGTACCTGGCTCTTGCTGGGCCGGACGGCTCCGGGCTCCTCCTCCTACGCCCTCGCGTCGCGCACTGCTTACTGGGATTCGTAGTCCTCCCTTGAGTATCGGCCCTCCCTTCCCAGAAAGCTTTGGGAAGCTAAGCCGAGACAGCGCGGGGGGAGGCGGAGGAAGCGCGAGGGCTTCGGGGGGTTGTAGTTCGAAATATTCAAACAGCAAGAAATTATTGAGAAGAAAAATTGGGTAATAAATCTTATCAAATTATTTAGGCTGTGATGATATGAATCGTTTATATTTTAGTCCTTCTTAGACGATCAGTTACCTTCCGTGGTTGAAAACAACGAGCACTGAGATTCAGAGGAACTACAAATCCCATAAAGTGTTGCATGTTGAGCACCTATGAAGAGAGAGGTCGACCGAGGCGCAGGCGCAGTGGCGCGAGTTCGGCAGTGAAGAGACATGGCGGGTCCGACGATTACAGCGAGATTGTACTCCCTGCTTTTCCGCAGGACTTCCACCTTCGCCCTTACCATTGTCGTGGGCGCCCTGTTCTTCGAGCGCGCCTTCGATGAAGGCGCGGACGCGATCTACGAGCACATCAACCAGGGGGTGAGGGCCTGGGCCATCCCTGACCTTGGGCCCGCTCGAGGGGTGATAGTGGGAATGGAGTTGGGATGGGGCTCAGTCTACCTTTACCACGAAGGAGATAAACCGTGGGCGTCTTCTGTCTCCAGACTGCTGTCTGTCCCCTTAGCCTGGTGTGAACCTTAAAACGTTAAACGAGGTTAATTGATCCAACTTTGCAGGGGTTATAAGTATTGATATGACCCACCTGACATACCCACTTGTCCATTTGCAGAAGCGAAAACTAAAGCCTCATTGAGAGCAAAGAATTTACTAGGGCCACACTACTAGGAAGTCAGCGGCATGTCAGGGCCCGACCCCGGAACCCTGTCTCTTAGCATTTCAAGGGCAGATTTGAGCAGGTAATGGTCATTAAAAGGGTATCTACTAGGGCACCGTGGCTGGCCTTTTTAGATGGAGCTTTCAGTTCCCAAGGCTTCCCACTCAAGTAGCTTAGTATTAATGGTTAAAAGTAGGAGCCATGATGGGCCAGCCCGTGGCTCACTCGGGAGAGTGCGGTGCTGATAACACCAAGGCCACGGGTTTAGATCCCATATAGGGATGGCCGATTAGCTCACTGGGTGAGCGTGGTGCTGACAACACCAAGTCATGGGTTAAGATTCCCTTACCGGTCATCTTTTAAGAAAAAAAAAAACAAAAAAGTAGGGGCTATGAAATCAGAGAGCCCTGGATGGGAATTCTGGGCCTTGTCACTTAATAACTGTGGCTTTAAATTTGGCAAGTTTCTTAACTTCTCTGAGCTTCAGTTTTATCTGTGAAATGGAGGTAATAATAGTAACTACCTTAGGGAATTATTGTGAGAATTATATGAGATGCAGGCAAGGTGCCACAGTGTGTGGTAGGTGGTACCACTGAAAAATAACATTTGTTACATTCTTCAGGGGAAAGTGGAAGCATAAGGTAGGGAATAGCAACACCTTTTAGACTTTTTGTGTACCAGGCACTGTGCTGGGTGCTGTGCATGCTTTATATCATTAAATTGTGGCCATACTGGGAAATGCCTTGTTCAGTTAACCCTGTTTCACTATTCACTTGTGTTTTTAATTCCAGTGTTAGTGGACAGGAAGGCTCTGTCCACTAATACTGTACTGCCCGTGGCCAGGGCAACTTCCTGCCCACATGAAAGTGTTGCCAGTGTCCCATTTCTATAAGTGGTTCTGTTGGCCATTTCCACGAATCTGGAAAGGCATCTAAGTACATTGTCATACCCCATCCATTTTCCTGTGCTTTTAGGAATGTGAATTTCAGCTAATTTAGGTCCAAGGAATAAAAAAATGGCTCAGTGTGAAATATTTAGGGACCATGCACTTAGGACTTCATAGGTCATACCTAGGAGGTGAAGAATTGAGATATTTTCCAGGCTCTGTTCCTTAGTAATTGTGTGCTTTTGGACAGTTTCCTCAATTTCTACCTCAATTTCCTGTAAAAGTAAGATCATTCCTTCCCACTTCACATGGTGATTGAGAGCATCAAGTATTTTGTAAATGTTAGGAATTGTGTGTCATGCCTAGCATTGCTTCTAGTTTGCCCACCACAACTGTATGTTTTTAGGCAGGATATGGCATGTGTTTCTCTTGAGTTTATTTCAGAGATCAGGGCAGTGGGAGTAGTTGTAAAATGTTAGAGGCAAAGGTTAAAGTTTGTGGCTCTTGTCTTTAAAATGCAGAAGCTGTGGAAACACATCAAGCACAAGTATGAGAACCAGGAGTAGTTCCCCAGAGACCCCCATCCAGGCCAGAAGGACCAGGTCCACCCACCGGCTGTTTGCCCAGAGCTGGGGCCTCAGCTTGAAGATGATGCTCAAGTTATTCTTCACAGACCATCTCTAGCTTTCAGCAAGAAGTATCTTCACATAACAAACAGACTCTCACTTCCGCTGTGTTTGAAGTATGTTTAATCAGAGTCATCAGAAAATAAATGTAAATCGTCCTTTAGATCTGCTTCTGCATTGAGTGCTTTATTAACTCTACATGATCTTCACTTGTCAGTTATTTCAGACCACTTCAAAGCCCTCCGCAAACATCTGAAGGGGAGACTCTGCTATTTTGAGTTTTCCATTAACTTCTAAAGAATTGTAGTTTTCAAAACATGAGCCAGAGTTGGAGCTGTTACCTTCAACTTTGGCTTCTAAATTGATATTTCCATTCTTAAGTCACACAGAGGAGCGCTAACTGTCTTGGTCATGGGGAAGCACTCAGCTGGGGAATAAACCCTGGCATGAGGGATCTTGAACCCAGCCCCAGGGTCTCGTCTCCATTCTGCCTTTAACTTGCTGAGTGTCTTTTGGTAAGCTGCCATACCTCTCTGGGCCACAGCATCCTATCAGAGTTCCACTCTGATGGGTGCTTACTTGATGGGCTTGAACTCTCCACCAGTTCTAGCTATGTGGACCAAGCGTGAGGCATTGATTTTGCTGAATTTCAGTTTTTTAATCTGTAAAATGGGGAAATAGAAGTACCTACTGCATGAGTTTTTTGTGAGTATTAAAAGAGTCATAATGCACTTAGCACAGTCACAGATCCTGGCACAGATCTGCTGGCAGAGAGACATGGATGCTAAGGACTCAGAAAACCAGATTGTGCTGGAAGGCTGAAGCATGTGAGGAAGAGGGGTTCAAGGAAAAAAATCTGGTCATTCATTCAATAAATGCTTGGGTGGCCACTGTGTGAGGCACTGCTAGCAGGGCATATGATGGTAAAATAGCATGTAAGCCTTGAACTCCTGTCGGGGAGACACTATAAATGCCACCCTATGTAATTACACACCGGACCAAGGGTTCTGGGGAACAGTGCCAGGAGATGGAATATCCAGGAATGAGAGGATGGTGAGTGAAGCCTCAGAAGAGCTGAGAGCTGAAGATGAGAAAGGTCAATCACTTAGGTTGGATGTTAGAGGCGAAGCAGAGGAAGTAGCAGGTTTGAAGGTCCCCACATGGGGAAATCACTGCTGTGTTTGAAGAACTAAAAGCCCTGGGTAGCTGAAGGGGGTTAAAGGTGGGGAGTAAACTGGGACCAGATCATTCAGTACCTGGTGAGTCACAGTGAATAATCTAGATTTTACCAAAATTATAGTGAGTAGCTACTGAAAATTCAGCAAGGAAGCAAAAAGCTGTCTTACAAAAACCTTACTCTGGCAGCTGTGGGGCGATTGGATTGGAAGTGAGTGGGAGTGAAAGCAGAGAGACTAGGGGCTGATGCTGTGCTCCTGGTTAGGGACAATGGCTATAGGTGACCTCGGAAGCTGGAAGCTGTGCCACCTGGCTGGGAGTGGCAGAGGAGAGTGTCAGAAATCACTAAGCAAGTATAGAATAGTCCTTTTTTGTAGCTGGGCAAACTGCCTGGCCTAGGAAGGTAAGTGACTCACCCACCTGCCGTCTTTTATCTAGAGCCTGATGTGACTCAGCCAGCACTGGGTCATCCAGAATCTTCTCTGATGGGTGAAGATACAGGTCAGGAAACCTACACAGAGGTAGGAGAGAACCTAGAAATTGCCCAGTTGTCTTACCTAAGGTATATCTTCATGAAGATGAAGTAGAGGCCTACAGAAATTATGACCTGCCAAAGGCAGTACAGCTCTGGAGGTCAAATCAAGACCCGAACCAAAGTAGAGGTTAGGTTATTCTAAGACTTTTCAGAATGATTTCAGCATCACGTAGAGGATAACTACGGAGGTTGAAGATTGCCAACTATACGAGCATACTTCAAAATGTTCATGGAAAGAGGGCCGGCCCGTGGCTCACTCGGGAGAGTGCGGTGCTGATAACACCAAGGCCACGGGTTCGGATCTCATATGGGCGTGGCGGGTTAGCTCACTGGCTGAGCGTGGTGCTGACAACACCAAGCCAAGGGTTAAGATCCCCTTACTGGAGATCTTTTAAAAAAAGAAATGTTCACGGAAAGATTAGTATTATCTTTTAATTCTATTTCTCCATGAGCTTTTCAAAGTACCTCGTTACATTTTCCCCAATGATTTGAGGGCAATGTACTGGTAAATAACAAAGCAGGAAACATTCTTACAAAGTTATTCCATGTTAATGCTACAGTACCTGATGACAAGCTCAGGGTGGCAGGATCAGAACATGCTTATTTCATCACCTGCCTCAGGTGGGGCACATTCCCAGACTCAGCCCAACCAGCAGTTAAGATGCCCCATTATTTGTCATCAGCATTTCTGGGCTGTTGTAGTTGTGTGTGTTTCCTTTCAATAAGAGCTGAACCTTAATAATAAACCCTGTTTTACCTATTGTACTAGACTGAATAGTGTCCCCCCCAAATTCATGTCAACCTAGAACCTCAAAATGTGACCTCATTTGGAAATAGGGTCTTTGTAGATGTAATTAGCTAAGATGAGGTCATACTATTGAGGTAAGCCCTGAATCCAATTACTGGTGTCCTTATATGAAAGCCATGTAAAGACACAAAGATGAAAGGCATGTGAAGACACAAATTATTATGCTGTCACAGGCCAACAAATGCCAAAGATTGCCAGCAACCACCAGAAGCAAGGAAAGAGGCAAGGAAAGATTCTTTAGGCCCTAGAGACTTCAGGAGTGTGGTCCTGCTGAAACCTAGATTTTGTATTTTTTGTTGCTGGGTTTTTTTTGTTTCTGTTTTTTTCCATAAAACAAGTCTTAATACATTTAAAAAATTTAAAAAGACTAAGACCATAGAATATACATTCTCTGACCACAATAACAGAAGGAAATAGAAAATTCACAAATGTGTAGAAATTAAACAGCACTCTCCTAAATAAACTGTGTAAAAAGAAAAATCACAAGGAAAAATAGACATCCGTTTTCTGGTCTCCACTAGTGACTCTCCTTGTGCAAATGCAGTCAAGTGTCTGGCAGGCTATCTGTACAGTGGCTATGGTTACTGCTGTGGCATCGAGCCACTTGTGCGGCACACGTGGCTATGGCGGTGGCTGTCGTGGGCCACCTGCGTCGAAGTGGTGTTTACCGTGTGCTCCTTGCCTGATTGCAGGAGGAGTGGGCAGCCCTCAGCCCCTGCCTCAGGACCCCAGGTGTGCTCTGTTGCTTGCCTGGTTGCAGCAGAGAGGGCGGCCCTCAGTGCCTCTTGTTGTTTTTTTGTTTGGGGGGGCAGCTAGCCAGGGATCCAAACCCTTGACTTTATTGTTATCAGCACCATGCTCTAACCAAGAGAGCTAACGTGCCAGCCCCAAAACCTAGATTTTGGACATCTAGCCTCCAGAACTGTGAGAGGATAAATTTCTGTTGCTTTTAGCCACTCAGTCTATTGTAATCTATTACGGTGGCCCTAGGAAACTAATACATCTATCAAATTGGCCAAGCCAAAAATATCATCTAATCTTGTCAAGAACATGAGCAAGTGGCACTTATGTACTGCTGGCAGGAGTGTGTGAAATGGTACCATCTCCCGGAGGGAGGATATTTTTTCTTTTTTTTTTCCTGGAGGAGATATATATGTGTATATATATATATATATATATATTTTTTTTTTAAAATTTTTATTGAATCAAAATTGATTATACATATTTTGGGGGTTCAACATTGAGATATGTTGATCAAATCAATATTACTAGCATATATATTGTTACAAATCTTAATTATTCTTTATGCCCCTTGTCCAATCTCTCCCCATCCCCCTCTCCCTACTCCCTCCCCCCTCCCCCCTAGATTTCTTCTCTCCCTCTAAAAAAATAATGGTTACTCTGTTGATTTGTTGCCTAGATGATCTGTCCAATGCTGAGAGGTGTGTTCAGGTCCCCCAATATTATCATAGAGGAGATGCTTCTTCTGTCACTCTGAAATGGGCTTTGTGGAGAGAGGCATCCTCTTCTTTTCTTTGTCTCTGCTGGTGACTCTCCTTCTGTCAATGCACTCCAGTCGCTGGTGGACCATCTGTGTTGAGGTTGTGGCATCTAGCCACTTTCGCGGCAGCCATGGTTATTGTGGTGGCTGTAGTGGGCCACCCACATGGAGGTGATGTTTTTGGAATGCTCCTTGATGCTGGCAGTGTGCCTGATTGTGGGGAGTGTCTGGTCCCTGGATCCATGCCTTAGGTCCCCGGGCAGGCCCTGAGGTGCTGGTGCAGTATGCCTGGTTGTGGGTGGGGTGTCCAGTCCCCTTCTCCATACCTCGGGTCCCTGGGCAGGCCCCGAGGTGCTGGCACAGTGTGCCTTGTTGTGGGAGGGGGGTCTGGTCCCCTTCTCCATGCCTCAGGTCCCTGGGTGGGCCCCAAGGCACTGGTGTGGTGTGCCTGGTTGTGGGAGGGAGGGTCCAGTCCCTTCCTCCATGCCTTGGGTCCCCAAGCAGGGCCCCAAGGCACTAGTGGTGTGAGTGGTTGTGGGCAGGGGTCCAGTCTCTGGCTCCATGCCTCATGACCCTGGCAGGCACCTAGGTGCTGGTGGTATGCCTGGGCCAGAACTAATTTTTTGTCCTTTGCTTACTTCTAAAATGGGGGAACTACCTGCGGGAACAAGTACTTGAGCTGTGTGGTTGAGCTAAATTGCTGCTTTGCTGCTGTTTCCCTAGGGAAGGCTTTTTGTGCAGCTCAAGGTTTAATGGTTGACCTTATAGGTACTTCCGGCTCTCCAGAGACCCAGTGCACCTGGGTTGTGTAGAAACTCTGATCTGGGCCTGAGTTTTTTTTAGCAAACTGTACCCCATGCAATTCTGTATTCCTGACCAGTCTCCTCTATGTGGTCCTGCGCTAATTGGGGGGTGGATCGGCAATGTCCCAGTGTTCTCCTGGTGGGCCTGTCTCCCCACCACCTGTGCTCCAAACACTTCCCATGGGGAGGGCCCTGCACTGGTCCCTTGCAATGACTCACCCACCTCTGAATGGCTCCCTTTTTTCAGCTGTTCTGACTCCTCACTCCTGCGTAGGTCCATGGGAACCCCATTAGTGGTCTTGCTGTCATGGGGGCCACTAAGGCCCTCTTCTCCCCTGCC